GCCTTTCTTTCCGTGGCTGACTCACTGATCTTAAATGCTTGCGTTTATCAGAGCTGTGTTAGACCAGAGGTGTGCAAGATTTTAATCGTATGGAGGCTCCAGCCAGTCACTTATTGCATGACTACCTTGCAGATGTCCCCATTCCTCACCACAAGATCTGATCGCCTTTCTGCATCTGAAGGGACTGCAGAGGTGTCCTGGGCAGCTGGTGATGAGCCAGATGAAGATCAAATGTTATCAACACCTCCCCTCCAGGACCAGCACTTGTCATGCAAACCTGTAAGCTATTTCCTCACATAGAAGATAACAGAAATACTGCTGTGTGTCAGTGATAATGGACTTGTTACAACTCAGAGCCAAAAAATGCATCCCAAATATTATTTTGGATGGGGAAAATTTACATCTGGATGTAAAAAAAAAAAATACATCTAGAAAAAAACTTCCTGAGGAAATGTTCAGGAATGCATGATTTTTCTGTCAAAAAGCAAACAGATAGGTCTCTGCTTCTGGTCTGTGGCCAGCGGCTACAGACACACAGCTCCCTGCTGTGTTACACTGCCAACAACTCGAAGTGGGAATTCTGCCTTTCCTGGTGTGCAGCTGGGAGAGCCAGGGGATGACAGAGATGCTGAGCCCATCCTGGAGGTCCAAGAGGAGCTACTCAGGCCCCGACAACACCGAGGGCTCCGGCAATCCTGCTCCCTTTCTATAACACACTTTCTATAGGTCTCCTGGCCAGCCACATGCTTCTCAGACCAGAAGGGGAAGAAAATCTCTGCAAAGTACTGCACACAGTGAAAATAGCAAACCAGAGCTGACCTAGTGGCCTCTGTTCCTCACTAGGAACAACAGAGAAGTCATTCACAGATAATTATTTGGAGGTAAGTGGACTCCTGGGAGCTTCTGAAGCACCATCTAACCCAAGCAAGCAAAGAGGAGCAGCAAAGTCAAATCAAGAGGGATAAAAATGATCTCATCTCTTACCAGAGTCCACTGCCTGCACACGGACTGGGGAGTCGCAGCAGATTGTGAAGCCAAAGCCATCGCTTCCTCGAGGGATCGTAATCTGAAAGCAGACACCAGAGACAACCCTTTAAATAGCAAAGCAGAGGTCGTGGGGGACCAGCGAGCACCATGCTGTCACCTGGCACTTCAGCAGCTCAGAGGAGCCGTTGTGAGGAATGCCAGCACTCTGCAAGGGCAACAAGGCCCTCCTGAGCTGCAGCCAAAGGGGAAACGGCCTTAAGTCGTGTGAAATCCAGCTCCAGGATCAGACAGGAATGTCACACAGCGAGTGTTCACTTAGCACATACAAGTTCTGGCTCTCAACTCGTGCCTGTGAGAGGAAGGCTCTGTTAAGAGCTGCAAGAGGAACCCAGCGCTCTGGCTCCAGCAGTGATTCCTACCGCAGCTTCTCCAAGCAGGGAGAACATTAAACGTTTCCTTCCCACTCATGCAATACACACATAGCAGCAGCCCCTTCCGCGGAGGGAAGCCACGAGGACCCATGCTGCTCTCCCAAGGCTCCCGCGCTGCAGCGGGCTCCGTGGGGCAAGCACGACTCCTCACGATGATTTTGGTGGGATGGATATCGCTTCCTTTAGGCTCATCTCCTTCTGACTCTCAAAGCAATGAGCTTTTAATAAAACAATATTTATTTTTTCCATTTGGCTTACAGCAGGAGCTCAGCATGACTGTTCCTGTGAATACCTGATTATCCCCAAGATAATCTGCCAAATTCCCTGTTTTACTGAAAGGGAAAAGAAAAATCCAACATCTGATCTATATTATTTTTGAGAACAAGCAGCCAGAGAGAAGAGGAGGAAGCCAGCACAAGCAGCCAAACTCACTCCAAACTCTTGCAGCGGAGGGCAAGGCCAGCAAGCTTTTGTTCCTCTGCACCTTTTCCCTGCTTGCATCCTCAACGTGCAACAACAGGCTTCAAAAGAGAAACACTTTCTCCCCAGCAGGATCAGAAAGTAGGTCCATCCTACTACATGGAGTATTTTTTCTCTCTGGAGTTTGGTGGATCCTGAAAAGACCATTGCAGCTCTACCCCTTTATCAGCCCCACACCTTGCCAAATTACAGGGCACAGGGCATCCGAATCCTGCAAGAGTGTCACCATCGGCACCTGACGATCCAGTCCAGGATCCCTCCGGAGTGGAGGCTCCGCATTCACTTCTCAAGCTAAAGCTCTCCCCGTGCCAAGAGATACCTCACTCCTCCTTGGCTGGCTCTTGTCTATCACCAATAGAGACACGTTCCCTGTGTCACTAAATAACCCGCTACCCATTGCGGGCGCTTCACATCTCGGCTTACACTGCTGGAGCCCTGAACAGGGACCTGAGCATCCGTTTTTGGCACAGAGCTAAGAAACATGAAGACGAGCTTAGAGGTGCTCAACAAGAAGGTGGGGAGCTGCAGCACCATGGTGGGCACAGGCTTCCCGTGCCCATACCTTAGGAGGAGAAAGGAGCAGAAGAGATCCCCAAACTAGAAAAATGCAGAGGGCTAAGACTCAAATCACACC